TTTTTTTTTCAGTTCATGAAAAACGATGGTAATAAAGCAATAGATTCAAATAAGCATAATTTATGCGATTTGTTCAGAACGCCGAATCTTTGCAAAAAGTCTATACTCATCACTTACATATGGTATATATTTTTTATGCGCATTTTCTTTGAGTAAGGTCCTTTAAATCTGGCATATTACTGTGACTAGCAAAGACAAAAACGTCTCGTAGGCGATTTTACTAAATGGCTGTGATCAACTACTCATCCTAGTGGACTCAGAATTAGCCAACCAGGCGGTTAGCACTTCAAAAGACTGCAAAAATACTTGGCGCGCTCAGAATGCTCTATACCAAAGCGATGCAAAGTAAATCTAATAATTTTGCTGTATTTCGATCAGGTGCGCTTCATTCTATGAATCATCCGCTATGCAGCTGGCAACCTTTCCAGTAGCTTTGCCCAACCGTCTCGGTTGTTCTCTCAACAAAAGCACCTTAAATAAAGTTTTTATTGTTTGTAAAAAATTTTCATGTTTTTTATATTTGCATATGTTCGAACTTTTGTTGTGTTTGCTTATATAAATTTAAAAATTTTTTGTGAAATCTGTGCTAGCATCATTAATGGTAGCTCACAATTTTCTTCTTTTTATCCATTCAGTACAGATTCTTTTTCTTCTTCCTTTTCATTATTTTTGAAATTTATTCTCTTCCTGCCTTCACGGACTATAGCCTCCTCTTTTATAAACAATTACTCCTCTCTGTAAAAGATTCATTTTATCTTAAAATTCATTTATTTATTTTAAAAACTTATTATGTATTTTTTTTGCGAATACCGCAGCTATCTTACTAACAAAGTCCGGTTGTGGTGCAGAACAAGAATGCATACGGTTTGTTGGACTGAAATATCCCTGTTCATCTAATTCTTTAATGCATAATATTTATTCTACACATTTCATAAATGTATCTCTATTTAGCTATTTCGAGATATTGATGGTGTGTCGAGTAACACTACCCCATCTCGTACGTTGCCACTTCTAAACTAGCAAAATAAGGTATCTTTCAAGTGCAGCAGCCCCTACTTTATGCTGCAATCTAGTAAATTCAGTGGAGTTGAGCAGTTTTGCGGTTTAAGCTTTTGCACTAAATTTTTATCCTATTTCAACGATTTCGGCAGCTAATTTTCGCTGCACATACACTGTATGGTACACTGATGTCTAAGGTTTGTGAATGCAGTCGTTTACAATGGTCTCACCTATAACATATCAAATCTCCCGGTCAACGATTATCTATCATTTATCGTGAATGGAGCAGTCGAATTGCCCGCTTATTTCATTATCTGGCCGATGTTGAATGCTGTTGGTCGGCGCTGGTCCTTGGCTGGTTCGATGATGCTGGCCGGGCTTGCTTGTGTCTCTACAATCCTGGCCCCAGCTACTCACGGTTGGTTCGGCATAGATCCATTAAAAAATTGTACTTGTTTTTATTCTTTTCCGTTTCCTAGCTTTCTGTGCCGTTTTGACGTAGTCTGCAAGGAAACAGAAAGATATCCTTTTTGGAAAGAAAGAGTACTGTGTATTGGCGATGTCGTTTAAGAAAGATTTCTGACAATATTGTATTAATTTTCAGGAGATTATAAGATCTAGTTGACGCAGTTGCAGTTAAAATTAGATTTTTTGAACTACAGTTCTTTTACTTCGTTACATTTTTTATCTCATTTATTTTGTTTTTAAAGTAGTGTTACTTTCACCCCCATGTAAGAGGAAATAGAATTTCTTCAGCTTGCCTTAATTTTCAAAAATGTCTTCTTAGTGAGCGGCTGCAATCGTTAAAAATCCTATCATTCCGGTTACAAACTGCAGTCATCGGCTCTCTTAGAAACTGAAACGAGGCTGCTTCATCATTCTGGCTTTTACAGGATCTTTGACGAATAAACATTTTCGAAAGATTTTTCTTGTTATGAAGGCTAGTCGAAAGTCATTTTTGCTTTTTGTTGTCACGAATTCTAAAGAAAAAATTGCTGTCTGCAGAACATCCGTGGTTTATTGCGGCAATGGCATATGTTGGAAAATTTGGCATTGCTGCAAGTTTTGCTGTAATATATATATTTTCTGGTGAATTGTATCCGACTGTTGTGCGAGCGATTGGCATGGGAATGAGTTCAATGGTAGCCGGCTCTGGTCTTATCCTTGCACCATATCTTGTACGCTTGGTCGGTTTTTGTAATACTACAAGAGGGAATCTGGCTTGAAAAATAGTCAAGGCATCAAAAATAATAAATATTCCAAGTGTTTCTTAACTTCAGATGTTTCTTTTATGAATTTAATAGAAAGTGGTGAAATGCTGCATTAGTTTAGTGCGCGATGAAGTGGGCCGGAAAATCAGTGCATCGAAAATGAAAATAATGCAAGATGTCAGTTTGCCTATGCTCAGTTTGCAGACAGATCGTGAGGCTATTTTAGGTCAGGAAAAAAGAAGGCTGAGCGTTTAATATAGGTATGAGTTTATTTAGACAGTCGGGAGCATTCCGATTTTTTTCTGAGATCTTCAGCAAACTACTTTGAAAATGAAGTGAAGAAAATAATTTCTCAAGACAAATTTTTGCATATCGCGTACTTTGCGTCTAATTTTGTTGGAAAAGGCCGGTTTTCTTTTTTTTTCTGTACTTGTTACTACTAGCAAATATCTTCTTTGGATATTTGCAAAATAGAAACAGCGTATACAGTGCAAATAAATATTTTGGGCTGAGTTCCTTTTTCTGCTGTTTTTGATTATTCTCATTTATTTGTGTGAAAATGTCTTTATCTTTACTATAGTTTGCTTGTAATTGAAAATATTGCTTAGGCTGTAGCTGTTGTAAAAGATAAGGAGCTCCAGCGATTTATTGAGTTCCTGGCACCCTAGCATGTCGTGGGGGCAAGTTTCATCTGTAAAATTTTGTTATTTTTTTTTAAATAATTCCTTATAGCTGCACAACTCAGAAACGTAGCAGTACAAAAGCCATATACTGTAATGATATCTCTAACATTTCTGGTGACTTAGCTACATATTATCAATCGATGGACGGATCAAATAGCCATCGCAACTAGGTAAAAAGAATTTCTATACGTCCTTTTCCGCTGCTGAACTAAAGGCTCATCAGCAGCTTGTGACAAAACTCACTGGAGGGTTGCTCCTAACTTTGTCCTACCAGCAATTTTTTAGCGTTTCATCTCAGAAAACTTCTTTGCCTCTTATCGCAAAGGCTACAAAGTCAGTCCTGGTTTTGCATTATATCAATTTCCCTTCAAAAGTTTGTATTATGTATTATGTCACATAAGCACGTCTGGATCATAGAATCATCACGTATGTATTTGCTGACAAATAGCTATCACTTTTGATAAGAGTTTGTGAATAGAATTTCTTATTGTTAGACGCTTATCTGATCAAAATGCAAAAGCCGAAACATAAAAAATCAATTGAATAGAAGCTCAACAAAATATTTTTATCATCAATTTTATCATAAAATATTTTTATTGGCAACCACTTCGCCCTCACCTCTTTTTCTCCCTCTTTGCTCTCTGACGTCTTCTCTTCTGGTGCAAACACCAAAACGTACATCTGTATCGCTCGTAAAAATCATTGTTGGAATTGTTTATTTGCTCGGATAGCACAGATTGATTAGAAGCTCAATAACCAAAGTGCAAGAACAAACAATAAATATTTTGAAAATCCCCTTCAGTGCTTCTCCGTCTGCGATATTTATGGTAGTCATAAATTATGGCCTAGCGAGCACATTCTCTCATATACCTCGGGATGGATTCGATTCACAATGAAATTAATGTTGCACAAAATAAAAAAAACAGGAGAAATGAATTAAATTACAGAGAAAAGAACGCAAAAAGACATTGAATAGCAAATTATTAGCATGGAATTATAGCGGAAACGCAGCAAAAAATAGAAAACACAGTCTTTGTAGTTTAGCAATTAGTATTTTGCATGATATTTTCAGTTTTCAAAACCAAACCGAAACCCCCTCCGTATTCGTTTTCTGTGAAACACGGAGGCTTTCAGTGATAGGAAGGAGTACCAGCTGGCAGGATTACAAATAGTTCTTTCTTTCGAGAGTAACTAAACAAGCTGGTATCGAACCTAACTGTTTAGTATATGCCAGTACCAATTTACCGTTGAAACGAAAATGCAAGTCGTAGAATGAATGGCTGCACTAACAGTGAAGTTTCCAGTTGTAGTATATGATTATTAAAAGCGTTGGAAATGGGCGGCAGCAGTTTTTCGGTTAAGGTATTAAATGCGCTTGTTAATAGGGTTTGCAGACACGCTAAAATTCGAAGGCACTCAGGCAAAATGTGGAAGATGATACTCTGCAATCGAAAGGCACTTTGTGAAAGTGCAAATTTTTGATGGTATTCGTGTGTAAAGTGGTTAGCAAGCTGAAATTCAGTGAACTTTAGGCCAGTATTATATTAAGATTGTCTTTATGTTTGTAGTACGGAAAAAGCTTTTATGGAAAGTAGCAAATTTTTTTTGTAGTATAATTTTTCTTTTTCATAACTAGGATCGCCAGAACAGTCCCAACTGTTCCCTGGAATTTACATCTGAAAGAATACAGCTCAGTACAGAAGTATCCGATGCAACCAGCCCACACTACGCGATCCAGAGCTGGATGCCACCAGTTAGCACTCACCGTCTGCTCAATGTATAAACTCTCTCTTCGACTGCCATATGAGTGATCATTTATTAAGAGTCCAACTCACTAATAAGCCAGTATCCAGTGACGATCAACGATGCGAGCAGCATGTCCTGCTCTTGAATTTTGCTTTTTTTCGGGTCTACAACAGTATTCTGCAAATTGCTCAGCAGAACGAGCTTTGACGGACTAATGTTTGTGACCAAGTTAATCGAAAGTGTTTCAGATTTTTTTTCGACTGCCTTAATTTTGGGCCTTTCATTTTTAAAGTATTAGATTCCCCCTTTAAAAATCCCTTTTGGCTTAGCAACTCTTCTCCCAGATGTCCAGTTGTGTGCAGATGCGAGTTTGTATAAAATACTTATCCTCTCTGTTCTCAATCCACTCCTGAACTCCTCGTCTATCATGCGTTTTTTGCAGCTATGCAAAAACGCATATTGTCGAGGAGTTGCCTGTATATATATATATATATAT